TATAATCCAAAATTATTCAACATACAAAGAACTGGTAAAATATCAACATTCTCAAAGAAAAAGGCAACCAACATGTGCTAACCCCAGTATAACTGAAATGTGAGAGCTTTACAAGATGAGAACTTTAATGCAGCTATTATAACTATACTCAATCAGGTACAGAAAATACTCTTGAAATGAATAAAAAGATAGGAAATCTAAAGACAAAATAGAAAATGAAACCAAATAAAAATTTAAAAACTGGTAAAAAGGATTCATGAATAGGCTTAAGAACACATTGGAGATTACAAGGCAAGTGCCAGTGAATGTGAATAACAGAACAATAGAAGTGATCCAATATGAATAACAGAGAGGAAAAAAATTTGAAATAAAAATAAATAGCACCCCAGGAACCTACAGAATAATATAAAAAGACAAATAGATGTATAATCATAATCTCAAATGTTGGCAAAAACTTCCCATATTTGAAGAGTTTGAAGAGAGTTTATGAAGTGCAGTGAATCCCAAAAAGAATAATACAACTTCACTTACATACTGCCGAAAAAACCAAAGTTAAGGAGAAAATCTTGACAGTATGTTTGTGGCTTTCTCATTACAAAATAGGGACAATAGAATATCATGTTTAAAGTGCTGAAAGAAAAAACTGTCAACTCACAATTCTATTTCCAGCAAAAATATCCTTTAGGAATTAAAATTAAATAAATGACATATCCAGAAAAAAAAAACTAAGAGAATTTGTTGCCAGCAGAACTGCCCTAAAAGAAATGTTAAAGGAAGTTCTTCAGGCTGAAGGAGAACAATATTAGAGGTAAACTAGGATCTTCAGGAAAAAATTAAGAACATCAAAACCAGTATTAATAAATGTCATGGTAAATGTAAAAGACTATTTTTTCCTATAAAGTCCTTTAAAAAACATATGACTGCTTAAAGCAAAAATTAGAACACTGTCTTGTGAGGATGTAAATGCATGTAGGTGTAATGTATACAACAACTCTAATATAAAGGACAAGGTGGATAAAGGGACATATATAGTTAAAAGGTTTCAACATTTTACATGAAGTGGTACAATAGTAACTCAATGTAAAGAAGTAATGTACACATGTTGTAATCCCTAGAGCAATCACATTACCCAATTCTAAGACTATTAAAGCTACGGTAATCAAAATACTGCAATAATGGCAAACAGATAAACAAATTCATAAAGGGAATAGAAAAGTGTCCAGAAATAGACCGATACAAATGTGGCCAAATGATTTTTTGTATAAATGTGCAAAAGCAAATCAATGGAAATAAAAGAGTATTTTCAACAAACGGTAATAAATATCATTCTACATCAATCCAAAGTATTTAAATAAACCATCCACTTCTTCTCACTACTATGATCACCTCCCAGCCTAAGCTACCACCATCTTTCCTCTGGCTACCGTGATTATCTGTCTACTATTAACTGTTCTATTTCAATATGCTATTCTCTATACTGCAAGTCAAATGTGCTTTTCAAAATGCAAATCTGATGAAGTCACTCCCTACTAAAATTCTTTAGAGCTTCCCACTCCTCTTAGGGTAAATACAAAATTCCCTTCATATGATTTACAAGGCCATGAATTGTTAGGCTCTTACTACCTAACTCTCTAGCCTCATCTTGTACTATACTCTTCCTTTCACTCCATCTTATACTCACCATACTCCCTACCATGAAAGAACCATTGCATATAATGTTTCCTCTACATCAACAGTCCCCAACCTTTTTGGCGCCAGGGACCATTTCATAGAAGATGATTTTTCCATGGACCAGGGGTGGGAAAGATGGTTTTGGGATGATTCAAGTGCATTACATTTATTGTGTACTTTATTTCTATTATTATTACATAGTAATACATAATGAAATATTATACAATTCACCATAATGCAGAATCAATGGGAGCCCTGAGCTTGTTTTGCTGCAACGAGACAGTCCCATCTGGGGGTGATGGGAGACAGTGACTGATATGACAGGAGGCAGAGCTCAGG